AAAATCCTAAACAAAATGCTAGTAGATCAAAGTCAACAGCACTTTAAAAAGATCATATACCAGGATCAGCAGTTAGCATAATGGCTATGACGCTGGACTCCCACGTAGTTGCTGGACTCCCACATAGTCGACTGTGGTTGGAGTCCCAGACCCGGTGGCTTAAACTCATGCCAGGCGCATGTGCATGCATGCCCAAGATCCCGAGAGGAGAATGGAGGAGAAGGGATTGCAGCGTGGCCATCTCCTCTGGGAGGTAATTTCTCGCTTTCTGTCTCTCTGTCTCTCTCTGTCTGTCTGGTGAGCGCACGCGCCTTATATCAAAAACCTCTCAAAAAAAAGAAAAAAAAGATCATACACCACAACCAAATGGGATTTATATCTGGAATGTAAAGGTGACCCAATGTATAAAAAACAATAAATGTAACATACCACATTAACAAACTGAAGGACAAAAATGACATGAACATTCCAATCAATACAGAAAAAGCATTTGATAAAATGCAACAATCATTTGTGAATAATAAAAAAAAAACACTCAGTAGACTAAGGAAGAAGGAAGCTATCTCAACAAAATAACAGTCTTTTTTTTCTTTTTTGTAAACGTTTTTGCCTTGGGGCACGTGTGCTCTCTGAAGAGAGAGACAAGACAGTGAGAGGGAAAATGAGAAATCACCTCTCGGGGGGATGGCCTTGTCACAATTCCTTCTCCTCCATTCTCCTCCCAGGATTTTGAGCACATACACACATACACCCAGTGTGAGTTTCAAGTCACCAGGCTTGGGATTTGAACCACAGTCAGCCATATAGGAGTCCAATGATGTAACTACTACTCCATCTGTTGGTCCCTCAATAACAGCCATTTACAAAAAACCCTCAGTTAATATTATACTCACTGGAAAAGACTGAAATTTTTCTCTAAGATCAAGAATCAAGCAAGAATGTTCATTCTTGCTACTGTTATTGAATGAAGTATTGGAAGTTTTGTTTGTTTTTGTCAGTGGTTATGTGTGCTCACCAGAGAGAGATGAAGAGACAAAGAACGAAAATACAGTGAGGGAGAAAGCACTCCCCAGTGAAGTACACTGCAATCCCCTCTCCTCCATTTCTGCATCCTGTTGGAACTTGAATTGCACATGCACACACACATCCAGCATGTTTTTCAAGCCCTCAGGACCAGGACTCTACAAGGTAATCAGGTGTGATCTGACTCCTTTAATCACTAAGCTATGGGGCTGGTCCTATCAATTTTTAACATATTCTTAGTTCTTAGGGTATCATGGGGCTGTTTCAGGGCTGTTTTTCTCTCCTGTTCCTTTCAGCAATATTTTATGTTTTAAATCATTATTATCTTTAATTTTCTAATACATTCAATCACCGTATATCATTACAGCTTGCAAAATGGATTTTCCTAGACTGTATATATAGCAGTCTTTTAAATTTAGCTTAGTATCACCCTCCTTTTTACTATTACAATTTTGTGATACATAGTCCCATCAGTTGCTATGTAGTTGGTCATGTGCGATCCAGATCCCTTAACCAGTAGGCTAAGGGGCCAACCCAGTGCCGAAAGTTTTAAATAAAGCACTTAAATAAGGAAAAGGAATAAAAGGCATATAAACCAGAAAATAAGTAAAATCACCTCTATTCACAAATTACAATTTTATATTTAATAAGCAATAAAGATTCTACCAGAGAATTGTTAGAACAAATAAATGAATTCAGCAAAGTTTCAGAACATAAAACCAGCACTCAAAATCAGTTGTGTTTATGTGTACTAATAAAGACTGACTGGAAAAATATAGACAAATGAGACTATAACAAACATGAAAACATCTGAGTATCAAAGAAAAAAAATCAACAGCATAAAAGGCAACCAATGAAATGGTAAAAATAATTGCAAATTACATATCTGATACCAGGTTAGTATCCAGAACATATAATAAACTTCTACAACTCAACAATAGGGCAAAACCACAACCTGATTGAAAAATGGATAAAAGAGTTAAGTAGACACTTTCCAAAGATATATAAATAGCCAATAAACACCTGAAAAGATGCTCACCATCACTAATCTTTAGGGAAATGCAAATAAAACCATGAGATAAACTTTGCACCAATCAGGAGTCCCACTTTTTAACGATAACAAGTGTTGACAAAGAAGTGAATAAATTGTTAAGGACTTTATGCACTATTAGTGTGAATGAAAAATGGTGTCACCATTATGGAAAACAGTGTGAAAACTTTTTAAAACATTAAAAATAAAATTACAATAAGCCCATTTCTGGGTATTTATCCAAAAGAATTTAAACATCTTGAAGCACTGTTTTGCACATCCATGTTCCTTGTGGATTATTTACATTAGCTGAGAGGTAGAAGTAATTCCATTATTCATTGATAGAGAAGTTGATAAAGGAAATGTGGTATATAAGGCAATGGACTATTATGTAGTACTGAAAAAGAAGGGAATCCTGTTGTATATTACAGTATAAAAGAACCTTAAGGATAATAGTCCAAGTAAAATAAGTCAGTCATAAGATGAAATATTGTATGATCCCACTCATATTAAGTATCCAAAATAGTCAAAATCATAGAAACTGAAAGTTGAAAGGCAATTATCAAGGGCTAGCAGGAGTGAGGAGGGGAATAAATGTTTAGTGGGTATGGAGACTCAATGTTCAACTGAAAAAGTTCAAGAGATCTGTTTTACAAAAATGTGAATTTATTTAATACTACTGAGCTGAATATTTAAAATAAATTAAATGAGTAGCAGGTGGTGGTTAAGGCAATGGACTACTATGTGGCTCAAGTCTCAGACCTGGTGGCTTGAAACTCACATTGGGTGTGTATGCATGCATGCCCAAAAATCCCAAGAGGAGAATGGAGGAGAGGGAATTACAACATGGCCATCCCCCTGGAGGATGATTTTTTGCTTTCTGTCTCTCTGTCTCTCCAGTGAGTGTACATGCCTATAGCAAAAATCTCTTAAACAATGATTAAGATGGTAACTTTAATATTGTGGGTTTTTTTTTTTACCATAATTAAAAAAGAGAAAAGACTACAACCCTACTGAAAAGTTAGACTAGGAATCAAAACAACTAGTTCACTGAAAAAGATATCCAAGTTGTTCTAAAGCAATGAAAAAATGCTCAACTATTCTCAAAATAGGGGAGATATAAAGTAAAACCACAATGAGATGTCATTTCCTACCCGTAAATTGGCCCAAACCCCAGAAGTTTGACAATATATTTGCTGGACAGAATGTGGGGTAATAAGAATTCTTATGTAGTTTTGGTGGAAATACAAATATTGGTATAACTAGTATAAGATGGAATTCCATGTCTATAGCAAAATTACATATGGACTCATTTCTTGATTTAGCAATCCTGCTTCTGGGAATTGATCATAAAAATATACTGACAAAAAATATAGAAGTATGCACCAAGCTATGCAGCAGAACCTACTTAATATGACAAATGCAAACAAAACCCCAAATGAATGTTGATATCTGACTAGTAAAGCAAATGATTATTTATCACACAATGGAGTACTATGCAGCTATAAATAAGAAATGAATATTTTATATACAATTATAAAGTTACTCCAAGCTATATTAAATGAAAAAAGCCAGTGAGAACAATGTGAATAAAATGTTACTATGTATGGAAGGGAGAAAATACACACACATACATGCACATACAAATATGATACTAATATTTGCCTTTATTGAAGACATAAAAGGATATCTATTTTTTAAAAAGCAAGGAATCAAAGACAGAAAGGGGATTGTCTTAAGGACTCAGGCACCAGTATGAAGAGGATCTCACTGCCCAAAGATAGAAACATTTGAGCAACACTAATTACAGTAGATTGAAACACACTGAAATGGTTAAGTCCATGAATTCACAATAATTGTTAAAAATAAAACAAACTAATAGGTCACCTTTGCTGCACGTTAAAGTCCAACTTATTAATATGATAATTTACAAAGGGAAAGAATTAAACATTTATATTCTTTTCTTAAACACAAACTATACCTCTGTGTATTTATGTCTACTAAAGAAAAGATGAAGAGATATTTCTCTCTTTAGAGTTATTTCAGCTAATAAAAGAAGAAGAAATATAGAATGTCATCATTTTAAAACCCCCAGTGGAGTAGTAGAAATAAGCAAAAATCATGAAAGGATGCTAACACTGCAAAAAACAAAGACATTGTACCTCTTGATTGAAGTACATGAAGTACATAATGCTATCTATGAAGGAATTTTGTCTCTTCAAAAAAAAAAGAAAAGAAAACCCTGAAATTGGATCAAGTACCTAGGTCTATTATAAATTTGCAAGAATTACAGAGTGGGAAACTTTGTTCAATATTATATGACTGCAGTCAGCAAAATCCAAATGATAGGAAATACTCTATAAAATGTTCAAATTTCTTTTCTCTTTCTCTCTCTTTCTCTCTCTTTTTGGATTTGCCATAAGGTGTATGCACTCACTAGAGAGAGAGAAAGACAGACAGAGGGGGGAAAGTGAGAAATCCCCTCCAGGGAGGATGGCCATACCCAAATCCCTTCCCCTCTAGTTGCCAGGGAGGATGGCCATACCCAAATCCCTTCCGCTCTAGTTGCCTCTCAGGATTTTGGACTCACATGCACATGTGTGCCATTGTCTCAGGATTTTGGACACACATGCACATGTGTGCCATTGAGTTTGGGACTCCAACCATGGTCAGCCATGTGGGAGGCCAGCATCTTAACCAGTATGCCATCTGCTGGGACCAAATGTCATGGTTTCTTAACAAAAATAATAAATTAAATATAAAGAGATAGTTATGAATGGAGACTAAAAATGGCTTCAAGGATATATCTGCCATTTGGAATGTACTAAATGGCATAATCTTTCAAATCTGTAAATTGAAAGAGAAGTTATAGGGAAGCAAAGAGGAAGGAAATACATCAAGAAAAACTAAGAACTAAAAAAAATAATGTAACGTATGATTTACTTACATTTTTCTGGCTTATAGATCAGGTTATAATGCATCATATGAAGAATCATTAGAGCCATAAATGTAGACATAAAAGGAATCAGCAAAACAAAGACCCAGGCCCCTGAGTACTGGATGTAAGATATTCCCAGAAAGACAACAGTTGCATTTAGGTTCATGAGCCAATAAAACCTGCAGCATACAGACAGAAAAAAATAATACCATCAAGTTACTTTAGATAACAGTAGCTAATTTTATGCTTTCATTTAAATGTAAGCTCTGAAATAGCGGCATGTTAGCTGACTTTTCCAATATTCTTTATAATGTATCAATTTCATCATCTTTGCTGTATTTGTATTTTGATGTGATTTTAGATGTGATGTAGAATTAAATTAAATAGTTTGTTTGTTTTTGTTTTTGTTTTTGTTTTTTTGCTATAGGGCACGTGGGCTTGCTGGAGAGACAGAGAGAGACAGAGAGATCATAAACAAGAAATCATTCCCCAGGAGGAATGGCCATGCAGCAATCCCTTCTCCTCCATTCTCTCTTCAGGATTTTGAGGATACACACATATGTACCTTGCATGAGTTTTAAGCAGCCAGGTTTGGGACTCAACTGTGGTTGATTATGTGTTAGTCCAGCAATGTAATCATTACACCATCTGCTGGTCCCAGAGCATGTTCTCTCTTATCTAAAACAGAGGTTGACACACTTTTTCTGCAAAGAACCCAATAGTAAATATTTTAGTTTTTGCAAGCCAAACAGTCTCTGCGAACTACTGAACTCTTGAGTTTCGGTACTAGAATGCAAAGACAATACCTAATCATTCAATACCACCCTCTTTGTCACTGCCCTCCCCCTGCTGCCCTCTCCATTAACTGGAAAAGGTTAAATGGTTAAAGTTGAATCTTCTCATGTGTTCCAGTTTTCAAAGTACAGGAAAAATAGCAAAGTTTTTGGTTATACCCAGAATAAGGCTTAAGTCAAAGAAGTGAGTAACATTTTGATACAATTTTCGGTGTCTCTTCCCAATAATTAGTGTCACAAATAGGTACCATTCCAGCAGTCTGGCTTTCAGGTTCTGGGAAAATAATCTCTATGTCTCAATGTTTCGCTGGGACTAAATCCTGCCATTAGAGTCTCATTGCAAAGGAGAGACCTTAACATAAACTGAAAAAATAAGTTCTATTGGGGTAAAATTAAATACAATTAAATTTTACTTGTGTAAGAATATAGTTTATATCCATGTACATACCAAAACACTAAGACACACACAGACACATACATATGTTCTATTCTGTCAAGTGTTTCAGTTGTGCATGCACCAATAGATTGTTTAATTCAGGTAAACTATCCTTAAGGTGTAAAGATTTACCTGATTACACCAGGCTCACCCAGGATAACCTCTTCTTTTTTTTTTTTTTTTTTGGAGAAGTTTTTGTTATAGGGCGTGTGCGCTCACCACACAGAGAGAGACAGAGAGACAGAAAACGAGAAATCACCCCCCGGGGGGATGGTCACGCTGCAATCCCTTCTCCTCCATTCTCCTGTCAGGATCTTGGGCACGCACGCATACGTGCCCGGCGTGAGTTTTAAGCCACCGGGTCCGGGGCTTGAACCACGGTTGACTACTTGGGAGTCCAGTGACATAGCCATTATGCTAACTGCTGGTTCCCAGCCAGGATAACCTCTTCTTTCATTAACTCAAAACCAACTGATTGGGGACATTAATTACCTTGGCAAAATCCCTTCACCTTTATCATATAGTGTAATGAGGGAAGTGAGATCTTATCATCTGGGTCATTTTTTATTTGTTAGAATCAGGTCATGGGTCGTGCTCACATGCAGGGTGATATGTCTATGCAAGAGTGGTTCAGTAAGGGTTATGGGAGTATCACCCCATGGCATGTCCATCATATCTTCTCGTCGCTCCTTTATTTCTTCCTTTTCTTTTTCTTTTTTTCCCCCCTTCTAAGTTAAAAATATAAAGTCAACAGGTAAGGTTGGCTATGGGAAGGATATAATGAAAGTTAGAGAAGAAAGACAAAGCTTAGAAATAGCTTCCTAAAAGAGAAGAAGAGGGATTGATTGGCTATTGTATACCTGCTAGGCAATGGTAAAGGTCACTTTGGTGGTCATGAACTTGATGAATATAGTCTGCATAATTTTGCATTTTTCTTTCAACTTGTTTGACCATGTGACTACAATAATGGAATAGAGAATTAAACTTTAATAAGGATTGTTTCTTCTCTCTCATAGGTGACCACAACAGTGTGAGGGGAGGGGAAGAGAATTGTCAAGGACGAGAAATTAGGACGAGAGTAGCCCCACCTACACTGCCTCATTCCACTTGCTAGTTGGGGATGGAGGCTCCACCCCATGCTGCACCCAGAGGGCACTACCTAGGAGGTAACTTGGAACATTTCCCAGCTTTTGCTGAGCCAGGGATGAAAGATGAGCTCCTTATTTGGCTCTACCAGCACCATCTAACCTGGGAAATGAAAGTGTTTCTGCTTGCTACCGCTGGTAAGTTTGTAAATTTTCGATTCATTCTCATCTCTATGGAAACTCTGGGGACAGTGGTGGGAACATGGGGGTCAATTTTCCACAGTGTTTGAGTGGAGTTGGGAGGTATAGTCAAAAAGATATGCTCCTATGTTAGAGAACTTTTTCTTAGAACTTTAGCTAAGGTGAGCAGGCTTTTCTTGGAGTTACCTGTCTCACCCCAATCCTCATTCCTCCCCTCTCTGTGCTAGCTGGTAATTTCAGGTTTAGTCTTCTCCATTAACCCCACTGATGTCAGAAAGAAATCCCAGGGAACTTATTACCATCCTCTCTCCAGTTTCAAGGTTCCTAGGCAAAAGTCTCTCCTTTCCCTCTCTCAGACTCTTCCTGTGTTTATTTGTTGTGCCAGGTCCAGGTTTTGCTGTGCCTACAAGGAATGGGGTTACTCTGTCTTGGCCGATACTGGAAATCCTCCATGCTGTTTTAAAAAAGTAGATAGTCTTGGGCCTCTGTGGCCTAGGGTTTGGAGGAGCTAGATTCCACATGGTCAAAAGCATGCTTTGAATCCTGGACCCAGCCACTAGAAAGACATGTCAGACACTGTGTATGCATGCCCCCAAATCCAACCGGATGGAGAAATGGAAGTGAAAGGATTGTAGTGTGACTATGCCCCATGGAGAGGACTTTCTCTCTCTCCCTCTGTCTCTCCCTCTCTGACTCTGACAAATGTGCACACTTTCTGGCAAAATGAGAAAAAAAAAGGGGGTGGGATTGAGTAGGGCCAGCTGGTGGCATGGTGATTAAGGAGTCTAGATCCTACATGGCCTACCTTGGAGTTCAAGTACCAGACCAATGGCTTAAGAAACATGTCTAGTGTGTGTGCATATGTGCCCAGGATCCAGAAAGGAGGGAGAGATGGAGAAAGGACTATGGCAGTGGCCACTCATCTGGCGGAGCGAAGGGGTAAGCCCTTTCTCTCCCTCTGTCTTTCTCAGGTAAGCACATGTACTTTGGCAAATTAGGGAGAAAAAAGCGAATAGTTTGTTTTACTATTACTGATTTGTAATATCTTCAGATATCCTGGATGCATGTCTTTCATCAGATATACGCTCTATACATGTTTTCTTGCCATCTGTGACTTGCCTTTTCATTTTTTTTTCAGTGTCATCTTTTTTTTTTAACCTTTTTTTTTTGTGGGGGGAGGTTTTCGCTATAGGGCACGTGCGCTCGCTAGACAGACAGAGAGAGACATAGAGACAGAAAGCGAGAAATCACCCCCCGGGGGGATGGTCACACCACAATCCCTTCTCCTCCATTCTCCTCTCAGGATCTTGGGCATGCACGCACACACGCCCGGCGTGAGTTTTAAGCCACCGGGTCCGGGATGCGAACCACAGTGGACTGCGTGGGAGTCCAGTGACATAGCCATTACGCTAACTGCTGGATCCCTCAGTGACATCTTTTGATAAACAAAAGTTTTAAATTTTAATACATTTGTACTCTTTCTTCTTTCTCATTATTGGTTCATGCTTTTTGTGTCCTATGTAAAGAGTATTTTCTATATCTATGTCACTAGTATTTTCTCTGTTTTTTTTTGTTTTTTTTTTTTTTTGCTTTTTAGTAGTTTTATGGTTTAGGATCTTGTATAAGGTCAATGATCCACTTTGAATTCATTTCTCAGTAGGGTGTCATGGATTATTTTTTCCATTTGTCTTTTCAGTTATTCTAGCATGATGTGTATTGAAAATGGAATAATTTCCTCATTGATTTTTTTCACACCTTTGTTGAAAATCAATTGACCAGATAAAATAGATCTATGTTCTGATTTTTAGTTTTATTTTGCATTTATTTATTGACTAATGATGTTGAGTATCTTTTTTTGTTATTATTTATTTATTTATTTAGAGAGAAATTTTTGCTATAGGGTGTGTGTGCTTACCAGAAAGACAGAGAGAGAAAGAGAGACAGAAAGCAAGAAATCACACCCCCAGAGGTATGGCCATGCCACAGTCCCTTTTCTGCCATTCTCTTCTTGGAATTTTTGACATGCACACACATGTGCCTGTTGTGAGTTTAAGCTACCTAGTTTAAGCAATGTAACCATTGCTCCATCTGCTGGTCCCAGATGTTGAGCATTTTTCCGTATGTTTTTTGGCCATCAGTAGATCTTCTTTGGTAAAGTTTCTGTTCAAATCATTTGCCATTAAAAAAACAAAATCAGGCAATTTTCTTATTATTGAGTTTGAAAAGCTGTTTATATATTCTGGATACTAATCTTTTGTCAACTATGTAATTTGCAAATATTTTCTCCCAGTCTGTGGCTTGCCCTTACATTCTCCCAAAAGTGTCTTTTAAAAAAAAAATCTTATTTTTGAGGTAGCTCAATTATCAAATATTCTTCATGGATTATGCTTTCAGGGAATTGATTAACTCAGGGAGTGAAGTCAAAGGGTATAGTCAAGTTTCTCAGAATTCTTTGCCTATCTCAAGCAAAAGTTGTCTCCTTTTTTTCCCCAAGAAGATATCAGAGCCTTGGAGAACTGATCTGATTCATCAAAATCACACGGCTGAGTTGTTGCACAGCAGTGAGGAAAAGCATCTGTCCTGGCATAGCCTCTAGAAGGAGACAACTCTGAGTCAGATGCCCTTTTCTCACGTCTTTCCAGGCCTGTGCCGTTACCAGTTTC